GCACAATGAAAATAGGCTGCTAAATGTTATGGTGGAAATGCTGTAATTGTATGTATATCCACAAAGATGTAGGAAATTCTGAATCTTTGGATTAAAGAGATTTACTGGAAGAGAGAGCATGTGGTCAGGTTGCGCAGAACACCTGATGTATCAGTAGGCAAGAGAAAAAGCAAAAACAGGTGCTTGGGCAAGGGTGTGGTGTTCCCATATATTCACACACCCTGCACTTCAAAGTGTGGAAAGGCAAAGCAGAGATGATGATAGAAGGGCAGATGGGCTGTCAGGCCCAGAAGTAATCTGAATGTTATACCAAGGAGTTTGGACTATATATTGTACATAAAGTGGGAAGTTGAAGGTTTGTGTCAGGGCATGCTTTGGTAATATTTATTTGAAGGATTTTGCTAGTGAAAGTAAGGTAGAAAGAAACCATTCTAAAAGTAGTTATAATATTGTTATAGTCTGGACCTGAGTGGGTGACAACCTTAGCAAAAGAAAGTAGTACAAAGGGGTGAGAACTGGAGCTGCTATTGGAATCTAGCGTGGACACAATCAGCATGACTTAAAAATTAGAAAGAAAGATTAGGGATAATTCCCTGTCATCTCTTTAGAGGAAATTGAAGGATGCTGAGTTTCATTGAGCTTGAGGTGTCAAGAAGACATATTTGGAGACATGCTGTGGATGTGTTTATAGAAATGTGGTGTTCATGTGCCTGGTGCGGTAGCCTAGCAGCTAAAGTCCTTGAACACGCCAGGAGCCCATGTGGGCGCCGGTTCTAATCCTAACACCCTCACTTCCCATCCTGCTCCCTGCTTGTGGCCTGGGAAAGCAGCGAGGGCAGCCCAGAGCCTTGGGAACCTGCACTCTCATGGGAGACCCAAAGAAGACTCCTGGCTCCTGGCTTTAGATTGGCTCAGCTCCAGCTGCCTGGGGAGTGAATCATCAGACAGAAAATCTTCCTCTCTCTCTCTCTCTCCTCCTCTCAGTGTATCTGACTTTTAAATAAAACAATAGAAATAAGTCTTTCAAAAAAAAAAACACAGAAATGATACTTAACCAAAGAGATCAGTCTCCAGGTTTTGGTTTATCTGAGGTAATTAAGTCAAGTAAAGTCAAGAAGTGGTAAGTAAGTAAAAAAATGGAAATAAAAGGATAGAACTTGGAAAATTCCTGCAAATAACAAGTTGGCAGAAAATGGAATAAATGGTGGAAAACAGAGTAATTAGCATCTAATATGTGAGAAGAGCTGTGGAGAACAGATGAGCAAGAATTTTCTTTTTAGTTTTTTGAATGATACTAGTTTCTTGTGTGGCCCTCAACGTTTTTCATTTGGAATATCCATTCCACAGGATGAGTTTTTAAACATGGCAACTGTGAAATCTCTTTGAAACTGACATTTTCCAAAAGTCGTAGTTGTTACAATTAGTATCACAGACATGAAGAAAGTGAAGACTTTCAACTAGGGAGAAAATAATAGCCAATGTTAGAGAATTTCAAGATCTTTATTTCTAACTCAACTTTGCTTGGGTTGTACTTTAGGAAATCAAGTCAAAACAGTGAATTTACCTTCAAATCACACAGAGCGAATTTTCCAGAGTGTGGGGTGCATGGATTTTGTTATCACAGGAGACAATTTTATATTTGACATAGGAGTTAAGTAGGACTGAGTCACATGGTGAGAAAGGTATTCTGCTTCTGTTTCTCTTTTGATCCTTCTGATTTATATTAAGGAAGAAAAGTGGCAGTTGGGGTAAGCAAGTTTTTTCCACCATATTTGATGTAGCTTCGATCCTTTTCAACAAAACTACAGGCTTTCAGCAGTTATCTAGCAAAAATTTAGCATCTTAACTTGAGATAACTGACTATATTCTTCTTGACAGAAGATACCCAGTTTTCCAATTATGCTAGTGATATAAAATTTTAATCAAAAGTAGAATCCACATAAAAGATATTAGGTACACAAGTGCGTGAGTTGACTATACATGTGACAAAGCTCAGGGAGAGTTCTTCTAATGGTGAAAGTTTGGAAAAAATTAAAATTAATAGAGCTTCTTCCCCCTTGTTGCTTAAGAGTGAGCAATGTGTGAAATGCTAGGATTTGAGTCCTGGGTTCCAGACCCCATTCTCTAATATCACTCCCTAGGATGCTGGGTTTGTTTTAAGCAACTAAACTTTCAGTTCCTTAGGCATGATTCATTTAAAATGACCCCACATACTCCTTCCTGCAGTAAATTCTATAGTTCTTTGAATGATCAATAGCTAAACATTTACCTTGATTTGATAGCCATGAGATAAAATGTTTTTTTCTTTGTAAGCCATCACTGTTAGAGCCTGTTCCCAGACCCAATAGTCACAGCAGGGAAAATATTAACAAATTCATTCTGTAATGATGACTCAGATTCTAACCTCATTTGTGAAAGCTAGTTGTTTCGAGAAGGAATCTCTGCTTTAGCTACGGTGATTGATTAAACTCGAAAATGAAATTGCGCCTGAAGATTTGTTTGAATTTCCTGAATGTAACATTTGATGGTAAAACCTCACGGTTTGTAGTTTCATTGCAGTCGCATCTAATAAAGCCTGTGCATTTTGTTCCTTAGTGTAGCAACTGTACGTAAGTCACTGCACAGTCAGAGAACTCTGCTCTATTTACTAAGTTTTATTTTTTAAAAATTTATTTCTGCCAAGAAAAAGAAAGATGTGTGAAGGATCTTCTACTTGGCTGAAAGTTATTTTAAGTGTTATTATGAATCTGTTTTAGTCTACATCTCGGGTAACTCTTAAAAATAAAACTACATCATCTATTGAAACAACAACATAGCAATCCTTACCTTCAAAAACACAATAAGAGATCAGGCGATAAGTGGAAAGAGAAGATACCAAGTATAGAAACACACAGTCCTTGGATGACAGAAGTTATTTGTTACTACTTTTCTGAAGTTTCCATATGAAAAGTTCTCCCTGTCATCAAAAGGGATGTTTTTCAAGTTACCAGGGCAATCTTATGTGAGCAGCTTAATCATTTTTTTCCTGAGCAAATTACTGCTTTTATATTTACAATATCTTCAGCTTTGTGGTAGCTATTTCTTAGGTACTTAACAAATACTCTTGACCTTGAAAGAATACTCTCTGAACAGGCAATATTAGCATGTGCTGGCTTTTGAAAGATCATCTTTTAGTATCCTTCAACAACTGCTCCCTCTCCTATTCTCTGAGTGATATTAAATTTGATTTCCTGGTTCATGCTTACAGGTCACAAGAGCGAGTTAGAAAGTACAGTGAAGCCCAGGAGGGAAAAAAAATGCGAAACAGTAGAATCGAAGTAATTTCAGAATCATGCTATTTAGAGCCATTTGGTGCATGAGAAAGTGCCTCCTTCATGCTTTGTTACTTAGAATAAATTCTTTTACAGCAAGGTACAATACAGGATATTCCAAAAGGTGATCTTGACTCACTAATGCTAAGTTAAATTACATACACTTTACTTATTTTAGAAAATGTACATTGTAACGTAGAAAAATTTCAATGTTAGTAGGATAAAATTTTAAGAAAATACTTTTGTGTATGTGCATGTATGGGTGAACTTTTAGCCATTCAAGGCAGTCAGCCATGAAAATCAAACCTGTCTATGTGACCATGGTCTTAGTAAAATATCATTTGCGTGCAGTCTTTAATAAATAAACTGAGACTCCATATATTCTACTGAAGAGGATAAGGCATTTCTTGTTGCTAAGTTAAGATGATTTTCTGTGCTGTTCTTCATGTTTTAAGAAGGAGCTTGACAGAAATCCCTTGCGGGCTTTAACAGAAGCACCTTTTTCACATTCCTTTCTCCAGGACTTAAGGTTAGGGGAATTTCCCCTGGGGAAACCCAGGGACTAGATTCAGCTTCTTATGGTGTCACCTGTAATTCTCTGGACAAGACATTTGAATTGAGCCTGGTTTGTAAATTAAAATAAAAGTACTTTCTAAGTTATCTTCATGAGAACAGCACACACAGAAGATAAACCTTTATATACTATATATAATATCTACTGCATAAAAACTCAATACCGTAAACATTTAACTTAGTGCATGTGAAAGGAATTGGAGTGGGCAGCTGCAGACCCCAGAGAGAGAGAGAGAGAGAGAGAGAGAGAGAGAAAACGAGTATAACTCAGGACCCTCAGAGGTCAACCAGTCAAATACCAGAGCCGAATTTTTCAAAGAACCAGATAATGCCAGTTTTATGGCCATTAATAACATTTTTGTTATATAAACAAAGATAAGAGTAATAAAAAATAAATTCTATGCAGTGTAATCTGATTGCCAGCAGAGTTCAGAAATGGCCTTCCTCTCTGCACACATGGTGTTGCATAATGGACCATGATCATTTGGCAGCCCCCTTCCTAGTCTTCCACTTCTCTTTTATGGATAGTATTTCATTCTGCCAGATCCTTCAGCTATGCCAATGAGGCAGATTCTCTGGTTTCACCTTTAAAGCTCTTTCATTGTGCCTCTGGTAGTTACTGCACCAAATGATCTTCAGGGCTTTTCATATGTGTGCTCTGCAGCTAATCAGAATGCCTGGACCTACTGTTTTCCTACCTCTGTGTTTTCGACGTGTTTCAGGATCCAGTTCAAACACCAGAGCCATCAACTACAGAAGAGGCATGGCAAAACTCAGCTCTGATTTGGGTGTCTGTTTCAAACAGAGATTTTCCAAAGGATATCCTGCAACAGATAAATCATCTCATTAGGCTAGGTTCCCTTTTCAAACCCAGGAAGCAGAATGCCTGCCTGCTGCGTAGGAAAACCCAGATAATGTTGTTATGGCTGTGCTCAGAGCACTTGTAAATATTGTTGTCAGTGTCTTTTATAAAGGTTCCATTGAGATTGCATTTAAACATTGACAGGTTAATTGTCTGTTTTAATGCTTTGTTTATGGAAAACTGATAGGGAAGCGGCAAGATGAGTCTTTTACATATAGCAATGACACTCTCCCCCCACCTACTGTCTCCTCCAGTTGATTACTCCTCATGCCATCCGTGTGCAGACGCCGCCTCGGCACATCCCTGGTGTTGTGGAAGTCACATTGTCCTACAAATCCAAGCAGTTCTGCAAAGGGACACCAGGCAGATTCATTTACACAGGTAAGAACCACTGCTGTGGTGAACATGGAATTGCCATGTCCTCTTGGGTGTTTTTACCTTACCTTGTTGTCATAGGCTTGTATTTGATTATTCAGTTTCTGTTAATGTGGCTTTGTCCATTTCACCATATCCGTGATTAAATGAGTGGCTTCTATGATTATTAAGGATCTACCTAGGTGTCCATGTCAAATGGCAGATGTTGGAATAATTGGTTGAATTCTTCAGGAAGCAGCATGGGAAATAAGAGAAGGGAAAGAAGGAGCACTAGACATTCCCGAGTCTCTCTGGATGTTAATGCCGCCTGCTAGGGTTGGTTTACTCTACTGGAGTAGGATTGTGCTTTCATTGACAGTATGAGTAAAACTTTCTTCTAACCTGATCGTAGATTTACATTTAAATATGTTTGGCGGGTTTCATATTTAATTCAAGGTTGGTGCTTTTTTCCTGGAGGAGCTACATCTTATCCATCTTATCCTTCTGAAAATGGCCTTGGTACTTGGACCAGCCTTGCCCTAAGAACCTGGGGTTGCAGAGGCAATATAGACCAACCCCCGTATCATTAGAAAGGGAAAATATGGAAGTACTCTGTAGAAAACCTCGATTGCACTGAGTGCCCAATGAGATCCCTTGATGGTGCCATGTAAAACAGAGAAGAATTTTTCCTACATCCAAATTTTGCTGTAACAGGTCTGGGTAGAACCTGAGACAGTTCCCAAGGGAGGCTGCTGCTGCTGCTGACTAAAGTGCTACACATGGAGCAGAGAGATTCTGCTTCCACACTTAGTGTCAGACTCGACATTTATCCTCATGAACTGACCCAGTCAAAAAAAGAACCATGAGGCCACATTTAGTCCAAGGCAGAAGTTGTTTCCACACAAAGTTGTAGAGCAATGACCAGATACCACTGTTAGTGCATCCTAATTATAACCATGCAATTAAATTGACAAACTTTATTTTGCTGTGATACTTTATGTCAGAGCATCTTTCCCTTTTATTTTAATGCTAGGAACAAAACCAAGCATGCTTCTTAGTTACTCTCTGCCTCTCTCAAATTTTAAAAACAATTAATGTATCCTGACCCTTGGAAATGCCTCCCAGCCCTTTAAACAAAATGCAGGTTTGGTGCCTGCCTGACGATTAGTTTTAGTTAATTGAAAATTATAGGATTGACCCAAGAGGAAAATTTTGTTTGCACTCCAATCACTTTTACAAATTAAGGAAAATTACCACAATTTTGTTTAGCTAAGGTTTCACACTGAGTTCAAGAAATTAGCTCAGCCATCCCAACAAAGTCAGCACTTTGTTAGTGAGCACTTGAAAAAATAATAGTCTATGTGGAGTTTTGCGGTGTATACAAACGAAGCATAGAGAAAGCTATGATGCCTTATAGAAGTAGGCCAAGTGTTTTTAATTAGGCTCATTGGTTCAGCGTAAGTTTTGAAGAACAATCAAACTAGCAGATTAGCTGTTTCTTTTAAAGCTAGGATTTCTTGCCATTCATTTTTCCCATGAGAACTTCCACATAGCACTACTTTTTTTTTTTTTTTTTTTTACAAGCCTCATTATGGGCTTGCAGGAAAAGGACCAATTGCAACTTCTGATACTGTAACATTCCCCACCATCATTCCATTGGATGGGAGTTTTTCATAACGTTCCTCACTGAACTCGGTGTTCTGGAACATATTACAAAACCACAGAGGCCAAATGTTTTCTCTGAGGAGTTTGGACTCTGTTTTTGGCCGAAAACATTTGGGCCTTGCTGGCTGCTTATTTACTCTGCTATTAAGCATAAGAAACGGAGAAGAAAAGGAAGAAAATGCTTGTGTGGTGGGAGGTACAAGAGGCAATCAGCCATGGTTTCCGCTTTGGTGACAATGTCCCTGCCCATTAATGGTTCCATTTTGTGGTCAGGTCTCATTTAGAAGAAATTATTTTTAATCAGTGTTCAACAAAATATCCCCTAGAGCCACCTGGCCATAAAAGTTTGAGGAAAAAAAAAATCAGCCCCATTAAATTACTGAAGTTCTCAAAAGAAAATAGCTAGGGAGCCATCATTATTTGGAGTTTTTAAACCATTAAAAAAATGCCATTAATTAAAAAAAATCACATCTTGGAGAAATCTATATGATGCCGAAGTTAAGATCAAAGATAAAAGTGACAGATTTGTAAGTCTAGGAAACTAGTTAAGAGAGAGAGCCAAGAGTTGGTTTGGATGCACGTGGGTAATTTGTGTAAAAGCCAAAGTATAAAGCTTGGCTTCTGTTGTTCTTGCCTCACACTGAGGGTGGAAGACAAGAAGACTTCATTTTTAAAATGTTATAGTTTCTCCCCATTTTGGAAAAATAAACATTTGAAGGAAATGGCACCAAGCTTTCTCCACTGATACATAGTTGGCTGTTAACAACAATGGAGACATCACTTTTAGCAGAAGAGAATCTCCGTTAATTGGTAAATGACATGTGGACCTCTTAATCACAAAATGCTTTTACCAAGGGTTGCTGGTTCATGGTTGACGCTACTGGTGTTTGTGATTTGCTCAGTTTACCTCTCTGCTTGTCACCAGGTACTGGTGAAAGTCTATAGATGCATTGTAAAACCTCTGTTCTTTGTATTCAAACCTGCTCAGGTAGTTGTAAATCCTAGCACCCCTCCTCTTTCCACCCACAGAAGTTCACACTTCATTTTCTCTAACACCCATAGTATTTCAAGATGTGAAGCTTGGTTTTCTGGATTTGGTGAACTAACTTTCTTGTTTCTTGTGGAATGTCATTTGGATTTTTTTCCATAAAAAAATATCATAGAGTGTGTACTAGAGTTTGGGTATGTAGATTTGGAAGGATCTAAACATCAGTAATCATTATATGGAAGGGTTTAAATAATAATCTTTTTTTTTTTTAATCCTTGAGGCTGAAGCCATGTGGTCTAATCTATGCAAATGAAGGCAGAATTTTTTGGTTAGAGAGGAAAGAATTTGACTAAACCCAGATTGCCTGTAAGCTTGTTCCACTTGCAAGGAGTGGTGAGACCATTTCTCCATGTGCTTCTTCCTAACAGAGACACACAGTCTGAACTGCCAGATGTGTGAGATCCCTGTGTTTGTCCAGTAAGAATCACAGAGCAAAGTAAATCCCTGTTTGATTAGAACACAAAGGCTCAATAGCATTATTACCTTTTCTATGTTATTTTCCTATGTAAATGCAAGTTAAGGCTGACTTTAAATTCTAAAAATTGTCTTCTAGAAGAATAAAATAATGCTTTCTAGACACAGGTTTCTTTCCAACATCCTGTTATCATGTGTCTGGTCATTGAGTCCAGGGAAAAGAGAAGCTGATCCACCATAACTCTCCTGCCAGGGAAGGGGTCTCCCCAGTACTTTGTTATTCTCACAGCTTGTTTTCTTGCACTTGTTAAATCTTTAAGTGACTTGAGTCTTTCAGAATCATGATCTCTCCTGCTAAGCCCCCTTACATAACCTTGGGAGCTGATAGAATACTCTTAGGAAATGTCAGCTGCTTCTTTGAAGTTCTTAGAATTGGTTTTCCTGGTAAAAAGCAGCTAATGTAACTTTCATTGCAGTTAATTTCTCCATGAGAGTGGCTACTATGTCTGTGGAATAGATGACTGTCAGAATGGGCCTCCGGGATGATATTTGACCAGCTTAGGTGTGCACTGACACCCACACACTGCCTGCTCCCCAAAAAGAGGGTCAAAGTCCTGACACACAGATGTGTAACAACTCAGTTTGGTTACGTGACTTCTCATATCCTTTCTATTACTGGTTTCCACCAGTCTAAACATTTTCACCCAACTTCTACCTGTGTGAAAGAACTAATGAAAATCCCTGCATGTTAGTCCCAGAATTAACTTGTAAGTAAAATTTTTCCTAGAAACACCCCCTATTTGCGCCTTGTGCTCAAAATGACTGGTCAAACTATATATCACACATGGCTCCACATGGTGAAGAGGCTGTTTGGTTCAGTATGTTCTCAGCAACTTGATGACTTTTACCATGACTTTCAGGTTTTCCTTTTTCTCCCTTTCTAATCACTTTTGTTTTCTTTCTGCTATTCCTCTCTCTATTTCCTCCTCTTTCCTACCCCCTTTTTTTTTTGCCCTTCTTCACTCCCGAGAATACAGGGTAGCATAGTGGTTGGATGTTTGAGTTCAAGATGGTGGGAGGTACACTGAACTCTCAGCTCTTGCTCCTTCGTTTATTGGTTAGAACAGCCAGTTACCACGGAATACTTTACATATGTTGCTTATCATCATATTATCATCATCATCCTAGAGAACTGAATGATGTCTTTTATTGACAAGAGGAAGGAGGAAGAGGAGGCAGAGGTATGAACCTCTATGCTTATAAAACTGTATTCTAGAAAAAAAATAGATAACTAAGATTTTCATTGCTGTAATATTGCCCCTAGCAAAATAAAGAAAAAGCTAACACCCACCCATAAAAAGAGAAAAATTTATGAATAATGTAGCAAGAAAAAGAGATTCATAGATCTTACTACAGTAATTCCATTTTAATTAATATTTTCTCAGGAAGAGCCTCAAAGAATAAGTGTTTTACTGAAGGGATCCTGATTTAGAAAATCTGCACCATGGATTTTTTTTTTCAGCAATAATACATATCTGTTCTTTTGTTTTCATCCCTAATTCCAGCTGCTGCTTCTGGAGATAGTAGTAGCATGGTGGCTGTAATAGCATGACCATATCTCCATTACCAGCCTCCTGCCAAGGTGTTTCGGTTTTAAGTGGTTTGGATTCAAGATTCAGGAAGTTGCAAATCAGATAGTCATGCTCCCAATTCTTAACAGCCTCCTCTGCAAAATGAATGCTTCCAACTTGGTGATAAAGTCATTAGTTTGAAAGAAGTGGAGTTAGTACCTAATGAATCTCCGGGTCTTTAGCCTTTCCTTACACTAATTCATTGCCACATTAAACTTCTGAAAAGCCATTTTCATGGGTGTATCCTTCAGGGAGGCCCTCCCTCATCA